GGATCATTACCATGGTGACAGCTTTATCAGGGAAATGGCCTTGGACACGTGAAAACAGATGATTACACAAGTATATCTGGTCACTAAAGTACTGTCGGAAATGCTAGAAAAATGCTTTTTAGCCTTAATATCTTTATAAAGGTGATAAATGTACTATGTTGTCAATATATAAACTCGCCTATTGTCTACCTAATTTTTATTTCAATCGATTTAACATTCCCATGCATTTAAAGGGCAGTTTACAAGAGAGAATTTGGTACCAAAACAGCAACTTAAGATTTTTTCAGAGTTCAACAACAGAAATCTGAAATAGTCTTTACATTCATGCTAATAATACAGGTGGTGTAAAAATATGAATTAACGTTTTTCCTAAACAAATAAATGTTGGATGTTTGTGTTACTTTACTTAATTTACTCTTTATTAATGATCGTTTTCTAAATGTTAAGTCTTGATAAATAAGTTTCCCGTCATGCATGCACATCTTTATCACAGCGTCCACTATGGCCAACGATTTGCAGTCGATTGTTGCAAAGGTTTATAGTTTTTTTCTGCTTAAAAAAAGACAGAGGTAAACCTTTCATTAGTTTAGAAAGGGTTTATTACAGAACTTGTAGAGCTGTTGGCATGTCTTACCAACAAGTTTACAATATTGTAAACAAATCAGACAAGACGGGGACCGTCTCAAATGCAAAACAGGGACGTAAAACCATCCTTGACAACTTTGACAAGGGAGTGCTTAGACGGGCGGTCTACAAACTTTATGAGAAGAAAAATATATATATTCTAAAGAAGCTACACCAGTGACTTCGTTAAATCTTTGGCCAATGTTCACAACTAGATTAAACTGACCGAATTACATCCATATGTTTTCAATGAAATATACTGTTGACATGCAAAACATATATTTAAACGCTGCACATTTTTACAATCAATCGATAAGATAACACAAGTGATAGGATTCTTTCCGATGTACATTAATTCGTATGTTTATTTCAAAACAAACACACATACACAAATGATCCCTTACATAACTGATACGTATACTATGCGTACACATATTCAACATTTTGCAGAAAACATCTATTGAGATGACCCCTCGCCCGAGCGTGTGCTCAGGTGTCAATTTCACCTGTCGATACCGTGCATGCTGATGACGTAACACAGGCAGTTAATGTTTGTTTCAAATAACGTCCAACTACCCCTTATTTTTCTAAGTTTTTGGTATTTTCATCAGTAAAAACACATTTTAGAGCATGTCTCAAAATTTATTCCCTCGTTCTACATTAGGTAGATGTTTCTTGAAGTGATATTTATTATTTAAGTAACTGTAATACCTCTGAAATTTAAATATAAGTCAAAAAGCATTTTTCTAGCATTTCCGACAGTACTTTAGTAGTATCGCATTGCATGGTGTACTAGTACTGAGGATCAGATTAATATTTTTACAATTTGATGTAATTGGGACGCGTTAAAGCCCTTCGGTGTCGGTCCGGGAAAGCGAAATTTCAATATTCCCTATTCCCAGTAAAGCGAAAACCAAAGTTGTGCTAGAAGTGCCGCAAAAGCGAATTGCTATGAAAACATCGGATTACCGTACTTCAGATTAGCGCGCGACCCCAATACTCGATCTGTGAGCCGCTTAACTGAGATGAAGTTTCAGTTGTGTCAAGTTACAGCACGTTCGTGACCCTACTTAACTGAGATGAAGTTTGATTTGTTTCAAGTTTCAGCACGTACGTGACCCTACTTAACTGAGATGAAGTTTGAGTTGTGTCAAGTTTCAGCACGAACGTGACCCTATTTAACTGAGATGAAGTTTCAGTTGTTTCAAGTTTCAGCACGTGACCCTACTTAACTATAGTTTTATTCATTCATGTAATGAATTATGATCATTGTTAAAAGAACCTTCATGTTCCTGGCTGAATTTGTCAGAGTTCCGTCAACTTTTTTCAAGTAAAATATCTACTCTTAAAATGTATCCAAGTTTATTAAGATTGTTTGTAAACACTTTAATTGATGTATCATTTAGTCATCTTGTTGTACATTTTGTATGTACTCCTTTGTTATACTCATGTACCACCGGTATCTGTTTTCCCGCGTGAGCGGGCATCTCATTGTGAACTACCTGAGGGAAGTTGATCTGTATTATAAATTGTAACTATGTAATGCGAATAACGAATTGAGTGCCTTTGAATTAAGTGCTATGACATTTTCTGTTTTTAAATAACAATGTTATGAATAAATATGTTTTTAAAATAAAACCCATTTGGACTTTGGACTTAAAATGTATATTAATGCAGACTTGATTTCGTCACTATATGGCTGGAATAATGCCGATGTGACGTAAAGCCTAACTCAGCTAAACTCAACCGTTCTGGCACTCCACGACCAAGCATAAAAAGTAGTGTTTATTATCTCCTCAAAGGCTAGAAATCTCCACATTCCTATCGATTGTTTGTTTAAATGTTTTGACTGCATGATCCTACCAATCATGTTATATGGTTGCGAGGTGTGGGGACATTCAAATATAGACATTTTAGAAGATGTTCACAGGTTATTCATGAAATCTGTCCTGAAACTATGCAAGAGTACATCATTCTAAATGCTCTACGGAGAGACTGGACGAATTCCTATCTCTGTATATATTAAAAAGTGAATAATTTCAGTTTGGTTTAAACTTGCTACTAATGTACATCAAAATAATATGTCAGCTATAATTCACAATGTTTTATCACAAATGCTAGAAAATAATATGTATGCTTCACCATGGCTTGCTAATGTTAAACGTATTTCTTTCTTTCTTTCTTTCTACCATGACTACGGTATCAGACGACGACTCACATTTCTTTGTTTTTCTTGTGTATTGAGAGTCCCGGAACGCTAAATTCAGTGTTCACTGTAGCTTGACCGTTCCCGCGAAAGCGACACCTAAATTGAGGAGGTTTGGTCCAGATTTCGCTTTCCCGGGCCATAACCAGCTCTTCCGGTTATTTTACAAGCGGATATGAACGAGCGTCTTTCTCTCTTTCTCGTGTTTAATTCACGCTATACAACTTGCATGTGTGTTTTTTTTGTGAATCTCGTGCTTTTCATGCTCAGAACTGTCTTACAGCTGATATGAAAGACAACGCTATACAACGTGCAAGTGTGTCTTCTTGTGAATCTCGTGCTGTTTATTCTCTTACAATATGAAATAGCACCTTTCTCTGAAGCTTGTTTACTCCACGCAACACAACTGCACGTGTTTTAAGTGAATCTCATGCTTTTCATGGTCTGTATCTGTAACATAACGTTGGCAAGCTTAACCTCGTCAGATGAAATATGATCAGACGAAGAGGTCCGTATTACGCAATTCAAAAAAATAATTATTTCTATATTCTTCTTCGTTAGCTGCAACAAAATATGACACACGGCTGATTAAATGTAAATGAACAGTTACTGTACATAATGACACTTCTGTTATGTGATGTACACTGGGAATTCTCAAATGACAAACAATTACATCATATTGACTTCATGCGCTTCATCCATGTCGGCAGCATCCTGTATACATCAGTGTTTGATACAAAGGGGTAGAATGTTTGATCTTTTGCAGTGCCTAATTGCCCCCATGTGTATCACAGGCAAATAATCTTACCTGAAACAATTGTCAAGCGCATGGTCGACCCGTAATATTATATCAGTGGAAAAATAATCAAATAGTGAAGACATAGTGTAATTTACATCTTCAGGAAATTCCTTGGAGCAGTTCATAAGTTATTCACAAATTGTCACAAGGATATGAGGGAAATGTGTGTCTGAATACTGTGACTTATCGCTTCGGGACTGTACCATAGAGAATTGACATTTTTAAAATTCTCATTCAGTTAAAAGCTAACGGATTAACTGCGCGAGTCGACCAACGTAACGGCGTCATATCAGATTTCGTAAACCAATAACATGCTATTGAAATTATCTTATGTAGGCAGTAGTTCAAATAAAATTTGGATAATAACATGACATGTATATCATTGATTATACAACTCCACTGTTTCACACTGATAATTCACATTGAGACTAAACTACAAGGTTAGAATTGTTCTTTCAGAAATTCATCAGCATGGGTGATTTGTTTTTGCAATAAAGTCACAGAATATCAAATACCTGTTACCAACAAAGGACTGAAATCCATCCTCAAATACATTCAATATTCAGCAAGGCAGGATTTTGCATGCTTACGATCAATGCACATTAAAATCTGGCCACGTTGTGCTGTTTCATAAATACGCTGACGTCACAATGTAATGGCTGCTCTTATAAGCATGCATTAATTATGTTCGTTTGCATTATGTTCGTTGATATGTAGAAGATTACTTGTGCATTAGATGTGGACAGCAACATAGTGCGGAGTGAACTAAAGGGTGAGTTTTTGTAAATTTCAAGTGAGCGTATTTGGCAATTGTGTTCGATACTAAAGCTTTAATACCCGTGAAGGTCCGGGTTAGAATATTGGCCTTCAGTAACCCATGCTTGTCGTAAGAGGCGACTAACGGATCGGGTGGTCAGGGTCGCTGACTTGGTTGACACATGTCATCGGTTCCCAATTGCGCAGATCGATGCTCATGCTGTTGATCACTGGATTGTCTGGTCCAGATTCGATTATTTACAGACCGCCGCCATATCAGATTTCGTAAACCAATAACATGCTATTGATATTATCTTATGTAGGCAGTAGCTCATATAAAATTTGGATAATAACATGACATGTATATCATTGATTATACAACTCCACTGTTTCACACTGATAATTCACATTGAGACTAAACTACAAGGTTAGAATTGTTCTTTCAGAAATTCATCAGCATGGGTGATTTGTTTTTGCAATAAAGTCACAGAATATCAAATACCTGTTACCAACAAAGGACTGAAATCCATCCTCAAATACATTCAATATTCAGCAAGGCAGGATTTTGCATGCTTACGATCAATGCACATTAAAATCTGGCCACGTTGTGCTGTTTCATAAATACGCTGACGTCACAATGTAATGGCTGCTCTTATAAGCATGCATTAATTATGTTCGTTTGCATTATGTTCGTTGATATGTAGAAGATTACTTGTGCATTAGATGTGGACAGCAACATAGTGCGGAGTGAACTAAAGGGTGAGTTTTTGGAAATTTCAAGTGAGCGTATTTGGCAATTGTGTTCGATACTAAAGCTTTAATACCCGTGAAGGTCCGGGCTAGAATATTGGCCTTCAGTAACCCATGCTTGTCGTAAGAGGTGACTAACGATCGAAGTGGTCAGGGTTCTGAATGGTTGACACATGTCATCATCCCAATTGCGTAGATCGATGCTCATGCTGTTGATCACTGGATTGTCCCAGATTCGATTATTTGCCATATTGCTGGAATATTGCTGACTAAAGCGGCGTAAAACTAAACTCACTCACTCACACTAAAGCTTTACCACAGCTAGTGCTTTATCCTCCATTTTGTAAACTTTGACACAGACACACCTACGAACGAACGCAAACGCTAGCGCACATACACACAGATTAGAGACTGTGAGGTTACAACTCAACAGAAAACGAATATAGTTTTACACCCTTTCAGCAGCAGTATCACAGCAGGGGACACATGGGTTGACACATTGTACCAATGCGGGGATCGAACCATGGCTATTGCACTGCTTCATAAACGTTTGCAGACATTGGCTTTTACTACTAGTTTCCGTGAAAGAAATCAGTATTTGCCATGACAGGTAAAGATATATCTGTATGTGGCATTTCATTTCCAGGTCACCATTTATTCAGGGAAGATACGGGTTAGAACTGGCCTTCAGCAGCCCATGCTTGTCGTACGAGACGACTAACGGGATCAGGGATTCTGACTCGCTGACTTGGTTGACACATGTCTTCGTATCCCAGCTGCGTAGATCGATGCTTATGCTGTTGATCACTGGATTGTTTGGTCCAGACTCGATTATATACAGACCGCCGTCATACAGTTTTTTCGTAATGAATCAATTTCTTCTTTTTTTATGTTTCAGGTAGAGATGCGGCTATCGATGCTAACGTTGTCAATCATATACATTGGTAAGCATACATATTTTTTTATAACAGATATTCAAAAAGTAATTAAGAGTTTTATTCACAATGATCAAACTTTGCAGTTACCGAGCCTCCAAATGCGTGAAGGACACTTGAAATAATAAAAAGACAGTTTCCCTTGACTACGCAGCAGCATCATGGTGGATTCGAGCATCCCACTATACATTTAGCCAGTGCCAGCTGGGTTAAAACATCCCATGTATTTAGAGACAATGACTTTTCCGCTTATCAGTTTCGAATACCAAAAAGAGTATTTATACATCTCAAATCGTTTTCTATATTTTGATTTCCTAAATATTGAGTGAGTGAGCGAATTTAGTTTTACGCCGCCCTCAGCAATATTCCAGCTATATGGCGGCGGTCTGTAAATAATCGAGTCTGGACCAGACAATCCAGTGATCAACAGCATGAGCATCGATCTGCGCAATTGGGAACCGATGACATGTGTCAACCAAGTAATCGAGCCTGACCACCCGATCCCGTTAGTCGCCTCTTACGACAAGCATGGGTTACTGAAGATCAATATTCTAAACCGGACCTTCACGGGTCGATTTCCTAAATATGAACTCTTGGATTTGGCAGAACATGACGTATGATGTGATAGGTGAATAATAGTTATGCTACATTGTTACTTTGCACTATATTTGAATTTGTAACGTGTCACTGTAATGATCTAACTTATAATAAGGCAGAGCGAACTTTATTTTAAATATATATACTGAAATCAATAAATAATATACTGAAATAGATAATGGTTTATAAGTAACTGACTTCAATCTGCATTGAATTTGGAACGAGACTACGGTAGTCACGATTGGAATAGAAAATGCCCTAAGTAAACGTAATAGCGATGTACCAGCCTTGATTGGAAACTAACAGCAACACAAACGCAAACATTATCACCTTGTAACGTTTTATATTAAAGAACAGTCTTTCAATAACAGTTGTGCACAGACTCAAAACGAACGGTCTTACATCTACAGTTCTGTTGACACTTTTGTGACTCGGGGGCTGACTGTCCAGCATCCAACCACACTGGCCCATGATCAAATCATAGCACAGAAGCGTGTTTTTGAACATGAGTGCTGTAATATCAGATGTGGCCACCTCAGGCGTCGCTATCCGTGCGTGGCATCTGTCAGAGGAAGAGCGTTACAACAGGTAACAAAGCTCATCTGGTATGTTTATAGCATGACGCGACCTGTCTGACACCTGGCTGCGACCAGCGATCGCCCTGGTCGCGTACTTTTTGGCGACCGATCGCCCATTTGCAATTATAACGACCTGGGTGTGCGACTACGACCAAAACCTTTGTAACGTTCAATTTTATGGCGACCTGGTTGAGACTGGTGCGATCAGTCTTACGTATCGCAACTTGGTCCCAATGTGGCCGTGGCCCCTGGTATGACTTTCTGGCGAACTTCTGCCAACTTCGCCGACAACATCTGCGACAACATCTGCGACAACATCTGCGACTGACTTGCGTCTTGCGTGTGTTTTTCTGCGACTAGATGCGATCCATGTGACTCCATGCGAGTTAATTGCGACTCCAGTATGACGATGAGGACCTTTTGGAAGAGCGCACTGAGACCTATGCGATGCCAAGAGAGAGTGTTAGCGAATGCGTTCCCAAAAAAATATAAAAAGGACCGGGACCGCCTGCGATCTCGTCATTCGTTTCCTGACAAACACTGAAAACACTCAGAAAAAGATGGGGATATAGTTTTGAAGAAGAAGAAGAAGAAGAAGAAGAAGAAGCAGGAGGAGGAGGAGGAGGAGGAGGAGGCGGAGGCGGAGGCGACGCCAGATGTGGGTCCGAATCTGGCTGCCCCTGTGGCGAGTACTACCACCTTGTCCAGAGGTTGAAGCAGGACAATCCAAATCAGTTCAAGAACTACATGGGCATGCCCGTGGAGCTCTTTGATGAAATTTTGGAGAGAATAGGGCCCAACATCACAGGAGTAGGCAACAAGACCCTCTTTAGAAGCAGGGTTGAAACTGTCACTGACGTTAAGACACAGTCCTAGCCACTGGTGACCAGTGTCCAAGCATGCCTTACAGCTACAGGGTAAGCAAGTCATCAATACATCGCATGGTACCACGTGTTGGCCAGGCTATTGTGGATGTCTACAGAGACGAGGTATTCAAGAAGCCTACTTCATCAGAAGAGTGGAAGGAAATAGGCAGATGATTCGAACTTAGATGGCAAGTGCCTCATGCCAGAACTGGTGTGTCTACAAAAGCTGCTACTCCATCGTTCTCCTGCCGTGTGTGGACAACAACCACAAGTTTCTGTGGGTTGATACTGGAGGTGTTGGACACCAATCAGACGTCCAAATATGTAATCCATCGGATCTGAAAGACTGCTTTGAGATTGGTACACTTGGTCTCCCTCCTATTGAAGAAGCTGACGCTGACGCAGATGATCAACCAAGGAACCTGCTTGATTTTCGTCTGCCTGAAGTCCCCTTTCCTCGTGTCATAGATGGCCGGGTTATCCTTGAGGAAGTTTATAACTTCCGCCTCTAGCTCTGAAGTAAGGGTAACAGTCCTCTTGTGGACCTTTCTCTACCTCAAAGCTGGCTTTTGTGGGTCATCGTCAAGGGTTGGATCAACCATCAGCTACTTGTTGTATTGCCGGAGGGGTCGGGCTCCGAGGTCTTGCAGGGGGTTCTTCGACAGGGGGGGCAGCCAGGGCGCCCTCTTCTGGTACATGGAAGCAGGTCTCTGGATATCTTGAGTAGAAGTAGACAGGGTAGGCTGGGGTGGTGGACTTCTTTGAAGTCCTCTTCTTTCTGACCATTCTGACAGCAGTCCTCCTAAGCAGCGCTTTGTGTCCGAGACTGACTCGAGTATGCCTCTCAGCTTCTTTGAATAGGCGGCGCCCCCTGGCACAATGGAATCTCGGGAATGCATTACGAGAGAGTGCAACTGACTCCCAAGCGTGTGCTACCCCCAAGTGCGATCTTTATAGACTAACAACTAGTCTCTGAAATGGACATAATTTCCTGAAAAAAGTTCATAGTAAAACAATAATAAAATATAAATGAAAAGGAGCCCTGAGACTTTCTTCATTTTCAGAAGCTGATCGGGAAATCAAGACTTGCCACATTTTCTAGACTTGCGTTGGCTTTCTTGGATATATTTGCTTCAGGGTCTGTACAACAGACTACAATCTTTACTGCGACCGATTTTGCGACCTCATTCCAAATTGGACTGGTCGCAGAAGTTGTTTGAGTGTGGAGAACCATTCACTACACTCGCCTAACCTAAAGCGACCGATGGAGAGTGATGGCGATTGTTGGTGATGATTTCGATGATAGAGACCTCACTGAGACCTAACTGCTACTCCACTACGACTTTATGCAAGAGAGTTCGATCGAGGGTTATTTTTTTCGGTCGTAGATCAGTCGCACACCCAGTGTAAACATGGTAATAGTGATGAGATGCAAGATTCTCACCAATAACAACCAAATTGGTCTTCCTGTCACCAGGACACAGCCATCATGATTGTTGGGTTGAAACCTGTTTTCATGGCTAAAGAGTACCCATCACCAATTTCGCTGTTGCTACTGACGGACAGTCCTGCACCACCCCAGTCTTCTACGCCAATGTTCAAGCCTCAATGTTATGTCCTTGAATGGCCGATAGGCTCTAAAACCTATAATGATGGTTAGGGCTGTGGTGCGTCGAACTATTACTGAGTCTCCGATAGCAATTAAGAGATGGCAGAAACGAAAAACTATCGATGCATCGAAAGTATGTGTGACTATCGATAGTTAAGTAGTATAGGCAATGGTCATAGTATAGTACAGTATAGACAGTATAGACAATGATGGTACGGGACTAGTCCCCTCCCAAGGGCTCAGTTTACAACACTGAGCCCTTGGGAAGGCCCTAATCCGTACCATCATTGTCTATACTACTACTGAGTTGCATGCAAAATTTGACGAAAATCGGTCGAAAAGTTTCTGAAATATTGACTTTTCAGTGAGCATGGGGTCAGTAGGGAAAAGGTAAAATGTCCAACTTTTTGTCGTAATTAAGTCTTAATTAATCTAATGAAGTCATCGAGAGTGTTCCCAATGCTCTATTGCTATAGCGTAACCATCTGCCGAGATGCATACAAAATGTCACGAAAATCGGTCGAATAGTTTAGGAAATAATCACTTTTTAGAGATCATGGGGTTGGTCTAGCGAAAGGCTAACAATCCAACTATTGTCGTACTTGCTATATATTATCGAGGCTAGAGTTTTTTTAGCTGAATGAAACGCAGGTCTCGGAAGTCATCACCTCGCTACCGTCTCGGGGGGTTGCTTTGAGCGAGCGCTGTGGACGAGTATAAGTGTGTGTATCTCTCAGCTCGTCTATGATGATGATGCACGCCCGGCTGACTAACGAGGCTACAGATGTCTGAAAGTGACTGAAACACATCTCTCGGCAGCTTCCTTCCCGGAAGTAGAAGTAGCACCACGACGACAACAGCAGCTGCCACCACACGTGCAGGCAAACAATCAGCGACACGTCGATCGCAAAACGGCGCTGGTGGTCGGCAGAATCGCGGTCGGACTGTGCCTCATTTGGTTAAAAATTCCTTAGTCGCAACGTACACCAGACCCGCCATGGCGACGACGAAAGCCCACAGGTTTAGGCCGAGCCACGTGACCGTTTTCGACAAGAAGCCTAACAACCAGGAAACGATGCTACCCAAGATGCCAGGCAGAGCTTCGGCAGCTTTGCCGGCCAGTTAAGCCAGGGCTTCGCCGAGAGATTTCAAATGTTTTTTTATCCAGTCTCTGACATCGCCTGATGATGGGCTTGGTGGTGTTGGGCTTGGTGGTGTACCACCACCACCCATCAGCGACACAACCAGGGTCGATACGATGAAGCCCAAAGCCGTGAGAACGCTGGCCATGGTGATCCCTTGTTCCCGGAACAGAATTCGGATCCTGTCGGCCAACGTGGTGTCCTCGCTCAAGACTCA